TGAGTAAATAATATCGACTATATCAAGTCACACCATATGTATAATATGAAGAATTAGATCAATTCGCCATGGCCATGGCTTCTTACCAAGTTCTTTCTTATTTTTTCTGAATATACTTTTATAAACGTCATTGAATAGAAATGAATTCTTTACATAAACTAGTTCACATGCATTTAAGGAAACATAAAGAGGTCCCATCATAGACAAAAATGCCAAAACAAATGGAGGAATGATCTCATTATTAAGAAGAAGCCGGTGTGCAATAGCTTTTCAAATGAAGAACTGCTTAGGCCAGTCTGTGACAATTAGAATTGCATGACTGGAAAGATAATCCTCCATTAGTTCTTGATCATATATGATTTGAAGGGCTTCGTATAATCTTCTACACATTTTAAATTTCTTTCAACCAAATCGAAAAGTATGAAATGTTGTATGTGCCAATTGCTCTTTACTTCCACCAACCTATCATTATAACTGTGCAATGTTAGCCTTTTCATAAGCTCATTATCAGAATACTTACCTGTATAATTTTTTACATGATCATTATAACGAATTCCAAAATTTACAATAAATCGTTCATTAAGATGCTTTATAATTAATTTATCATCAACTACTTTTGAATTGAATGCTCCATTATGTGGTATTGCAGCTATGGGGAATAGATTTGTTATAATTGTTGCCATATGAGCTGGCTGCGATATACTACTGTTATGTTAAATGTGAATATTATAATAATCATCAATGTTCAACACAAAAGTTTTATTTAAAAAATTTTTCTACATATTCCTATGTGCGTCTGAAATTTTTTTCTTTTTACGATTTACTAATCTTGACATTGTAGCCACACCAAGATTTGCTATTATATTTAGTCCCTCATTATTCATACCTACTGAATCTAAATATAATGCAAGATCAAACTTCAAACAATTAATTTTTGAATTATGTAAAGATGCAAGAAGATAACATATTCACTATCAATTTCTTCATACGATCTATTATTTGACTATTGCATTCATATGGCTTAGCTACCAAATATAGCTGATCGAAGAAATTTCTAAATTCTTATTAGCTTGAAATACTTCTTGTAGTTTATCATATAAATAAATAGGAGCCTCTTTCTTTACATGTTCTTTTTCATAAAAATTCTTGACATTGTCTCTACAACTTTGATGAGATCAATCATACTTACCTCCTCATCTATTGACTTCAAATCTTCTACTATAGTTTTTACATCTCTAGTTGTAGCTTCTACTTCTCTAGTTGTAGTTTCTAAAACCTTTACTTGTTTGACTCCTCTTCATAATGGATTTTCTACAAAATTCATATAACAATTATGGCATAATTTACCATTTTTTCTTATGTTACTTTAATAAATTATTATTTGCTGCTTCCTCCTACTTTTTGTCTCCCAATGTGCAGAATTTTGACTCAGTGGTTTCGCAATTCATGCAACAATTAGTAGATTTAGACATTTCTTCACTAGGCTAATTTAATACAAAGCTCAAAGAATTCAAAAAGATTCAAGTGATATTATTAAAATACAGCACAAAAGCTTCAAGTTTATTTACAAATTTAGTCTGCTTCAAAGATGAGATAATCTACTCAGGCTTCCAAAAAAAGTATTATAAGATGTATAAAAAAAATTTTAAATTAATTAAACCATTTGTGTAATGATCTGCAAACTTAGTGCATATTCGGAACGGTCCCTTCTACTCTCTTAGACATTTCCAATCAGGTTAATTCAAACAAAAATAAACCCAGGTACTGATATGTTAATCATCTTTTAACTTTATTATCATTATCAATAAAAGTAAAAGATGATTAACATATCTGATATATACATGTACTGGTACTCAGGTTTATTTTGTCTGAATTAACTAATTGGAAATGTCGGATGGTGATTTTCTAGATAAAGACACCAAATATTAATTTACTACATTGCATATCTATCTATATGTTTTTAAATATGACAAATTCTTTTTTGTGTGTATTTATTAGTTTGTAAGCTGGCTATACCAAGATTAAATAGTAAATATTTATATACCGCATCTAGAGTATCCAGATCTATACAATTTTAAAATGTATTTTTATGCGATATAAAAAATTCTAACTATACAATATCAATGCAAATAAAAAATTATGAAGTTAAACAACTAATGGTGATTAAATTTTGATTTAATATAATTGTATAATATTGTAATTTAGTATATTAAAATAGATTAATTTATTATATACGCATTTTATGTGTCAAAAAGTGTAATTGCACAGGTCTAAACTAGGGATGACAAAAAACATGTTTTATTTTATTGTGTTTTAAAACATGTTTTAAAACATTTTTTGTGTTTTTTATTAAATAATAAAAAATTATACTTCATAAATACAATTTTTTAAATATATAATATGAAGAATACCAAAATACACTAGTAATATTTGATATTACATATATTTTTGCTATAAAATTTAGAGCAAAATGCATTAGTGGTGTTTGACACCACATATATTTTTTGTTATAAAATTTTGGGCTAAAGTAGAGTTATAAACTAAGAAAAGATTAAATATAAAGATTCAAATATTGGTTAGTATAAGGTTTTTGAGGATTTTGAACATTTTTACTTAATATATCTGATTTTAGTTTTTAGTTAATTGTTTGAGATTTAATAATTGTGGTATTGAATATTACTAGTACATTTAGTAAAATTATATAATATAATTTAAGAATTTTTTAGATATTAGAAGGATTAATAAAAAATTTTTTTAACCTATTGTCTACTTTTATTATGAAAAGTCCTATATATCACATGATTAAAATTCTATACTATGATTGGCTTATAAATAAATATTGTTTTTTATTGTATTTTATTAAACATTTAAAACTTGTTTTAAAACAGGTTGTTTTAAAACATTTGCCATCCCTAGTCTGAACACTATAACCGCATCCGAACTCTTCTTTGCCAGGCCAAGACTATGTCAACTACCCTAGGATCGCCAACAAAAATTATATGTAACTATAAAATTTTTCGTTCACGTGATGATCTAGAAAAAACTGCATTTATCTCAAAAATTTGCTTAAGAAAATTCTTCATTCACTAACAAAGTAATTCCTTGAGAAATTTTACAAAATTTCTCTTAACATTCAACCCTAGTTTAAACATTAACCCTAACATAAAAGAACTTAACCAATTTATCGATCATCACGTGATCGCAGAAATTTTGTTGGGAAAGCCTCCGGGCACGAGTCTGGCACAAAAAATTTCCGGAACGTGATTTATATATAGCCAATTAGATCGAAGGATCAGGCGTAACGTAAAATCAAAACGATCGAATTAAGCGAAAGATTTTAAAGTAATAAGCTTCACCTTTAGAGTTAGTAATAAGGCAAAGAGAGGACATAGCTTATACCAAAATTTCATAAGGAATTTTTTTTTTTTTGTTAGAGCGCAGAAGGCGGTTTCATAGGCAAAATTTCGATTTATTAGTGATTTTTTAAAAAAGACGTGATTTTCACGTTACACCCGATTCTTTTATCTAATTGGCTAAATTCGCGTGCCGAAAATTTTTTGTGGGTGAGCTACAGGGGTTTCCGGCAGGGATACGGAAATATTCTTTGATTTAAAGCAAAAATTTCGATCGATTTAAGCAAAAATTTCGATTTATTTCGATTTTGGCAAGAATTAAGTTTCAAGTCAGGTAACTCTGGCTGGAATTATGAAGACCACGTGGTTGTTTCGAATTTCGGGGGCTTACTGTAGGGTGTCCAGGATTGACTTTATATATTAATATTTTTTTTTTATAAGAATGTGACCTCAAGGTCACGTACTACATTACACAAGGTGCGGTATAACTAATCAAAAGCGTAAAAGCATAATAATCATATAGAGTTATTATCGGGCGAAGTTAAATCATAATATATACCATCCATTTAGGGCTATACCCAATCAGAGGTTAGTATGCATTTCGTTCCTGGTATTGGCGCTAAGATAATTACACACGTAAGATGGAAAAAAAATGATTTTTATATAATACGTACTTTGTTCCTGGTACATCGTGTAGATGTTCAGTCAACATACGATTTCTGGATTCAGATATTCGAGAAAAATGTGTGCGTTATTTTAACATAACCACGTATAAATTTGAAAGGTAAATTAACGTTAAACAAAAAATAAAGGCAATGTCGCACGAAATTGGGTACGTATAAGGTTTTGTGATACTTTCCTGCAGAATTATTTCTCACGGTGATTTTTTTATTAATTAACGAATATTACGAATACTGGAATAATGCGAATAATGTCTAGACCCTTTTCCTTACTTTATACGATCCCGCGATAAGAAAGTGACTTAAAAAGGCTATAAGGGTAATACGTATAATGTTCTTAATCAGTAGTATTACCAAAATTCATATGTTGTATGAACTCGGAATCTCCGCCATTCTCCCGAGATCGTCAGATCTAAACCTACCTTAAGCGATCGTCGATTATAAGGGGTTAATTTTACCAGAAAAATAACAAAATAGATTCAGTGTTTGGAACTTATGACCGAGCGGAGTTGCTTTGTTAAGTGTGATCTGGCAGTGCTAGAGTAACGCGATTAATAATGTAACTTTTTTCTGGCAGGCTTTTTAGAACTAGCGAATGAACAGTATAAAATAAGCAGGTTTCCACCCATAAGATAAGTTAGCAATAACGTTTTTTACTCATATTTTTTTTATCGTAAAAGTCTTACACACCCGCAATTTATTTCTAACGTATGTATTTGTTTTATTCGGAGGGTTTCGACCTACAATTGTTTACAAGGACGACTATGAAAGCGAAACTACTCATTATAAATTTTTATGTTTAGGAAACGAAAAAATGGCCACTGAAGTCCCTGATAATTTTAAACCAAAGTTTAGAGCCTTCATTGCTACCTTAAATAGATCAACTATATTTTGTGATGTAACCTTACCAGATCCTGTTAAAATCGCTTCTAAAGAAAATTCAGGAAACTGAATATCAAATACTTTATTAACCTTATGGTTATTATCTTTGGTGCAAATAAATAGCTCGAGTCTTAAACCTCGTTCTACTTTTTGGTTATAAGGAATTTTCTGATTAGACAATAGACTAGTAGGTGATTTGGCCTCAGAACTTATTTCTGAAATGTTCAGATTTGATGAGTCGTAGCCTCGAGACTTTGTTTCTTCCTTACTTACCTTAGTTGAATCCTTTGGATTCGTTTCCAATGAATTGTTATTCGAAGATAAATCTTCGAATCTAAGCTTCTTTTCCCGGTCTGAAGATAAATTTTCATTTGTATAATTTTTTTCAAGAGATATTTCCTGTAATAAAGCTTCTTCCTTTTTCAGTTTGCGCAAATCATTGGTTGAAATAATATGGGGCACAGAGAGCGAATCCTGTTCATTAGTTATTTCGGTATTGCATGATATATCCGAAGAAATTTTATAGTTATTCGAAGACAAGTCTTGGAATTGGTTTTTATCTTGTTCATGCAGAAGCCTCCTTTCCTTATAACGTTGTCTTATCTCATTACTAACCTTTTCCTTGTTTTTCTCATCTAAAAAATCAATCATCTCTTTATCTTCTAATAATTTGGCGTTAGTATCGATGCATTGATTTATAGCAGGATCGGATACATTAACATTCTCAGAAAAATTATCGCCATCTTTTAATCTGTGTACAATATTGTTTTTTAACTGCTGTTCCAATTTCGAAACTCTGGATCTAAGCTCATTAAGTTCAGAATCTCTTAATTTTGAATTCTCTGCATTTTCTTTTGCAGATTGTTCTAATTCTACTATTCTGGCCATGAGCTCCGCTTCCTTAGCCAAGAATACAGTTTTCTCCCCTTTAAGTTCAGTATTCTCAGCTTCAATCTCTGTAAACTTCTTTCCTAATTCATCAATTTTTAGGACAAGCCTGAAATTTAATGATTCTATTGTGGGTTGCATATCTGCCATTATTTTTATTTAAGATACGGATATATTCAATTCATCGTGAAGATAAAAAAGTCATGTGCGCGTGACAGAAAAATTCTCGATCATATGCAAGTTAATAGAAATCGATATCTATACAATAAATAAATTCACAAAATACACATGCAAAAGTAAACGATTAAACATGATTATGTATGTAAAATCTGTACCAGGGCCAGCTTTATTATATATATGTATATAAGTCAGAAAACGATTTGCTCGTTTATTACTTCACAAAACCCACCAATATCATTCCGAAATCTGGCACTCATGTGTACATTTGTAAATTCCTTGTTATGCCAGAAATGTACGACATTTAATCCCTTCTCCTCACATGGCCAGTATGGACTCGATACAATAGAATCCTCTCTAGAAAAATGGATGATCCAAACTTCCAGAGGACGAAGTTTATCGGCATATTTAAAAACTTGCTTGAAATGTTTCTCTAACGTCGATACGGATCCCGTTGCAATAAGTTCGAGTACGGCTAAAGGGGTGGGGTCATCCTTTTTTTTTATCGTCAGGTCATTATAACAGTGATGGTAGCCTCCATCATTACACATTCCCTCTAAATGCCATGTCCAGTTATTTCGAAATCATGAACCTTTGCGAGCCAATTATGCAGGATTCGGTACATCTCTGCATCGTAGACGCTCTCTCTAGGGACATACGTGTTACACTTAGAATCTACAAGCAAATGGTTCGAACTTTTGTAGGAGCGGGAAGATCCTAGTGCAATCGTTTTTTGGTCAAATGTGCGAACAGCAGACTTTATCACTTCAAGAACGTCCACTAATCCATTGGCTCGCAATGGTATATCTATATCAGGAAAAAAGCAATCTATATCAGGAAGCACGCGTGGCTTTTTCTTCGGCAATGGATTTATTAGATTTGTGCTTCGCCTTTTTCCTGATATAGATGATGATAGTGATGGCAATGATGATAATGCTGACGGTGACGACGATGATGGCAATGACAATACTTCCTTTCCTTCGCTAGCATTATTCCATAAGCTACTTACTTGATTCATATCGGCCTATACAAAAAAGTTCGAATGAGAAATATTTCACAATAAGGATAATCAAATAAAAGTGATAAGATGGCTGAATGCAGGAATATGCCAATAGTAAAGTTTTTGTTAATATATAAAGGAAGGTATATAACCGATTTCTCCTCTAGAACTAGCAGACCTTTATCAAAAACTTATATCATATTAGCATCATCCATCATGTTTACTAGGGCGAAGTTAATAAACGCATCCAATTCAGTACTTGTAAGGGCAAATGGTACCCCAGTCCTATCAGGGCGAAGTTAACAGGTACAAGCACCTGGCTATAAACCACCACCTATCTAAATTTATTCTCAATATACTTACCCTTTTATTTTTTAAGAGATTCGAAGTAACGTTACGAACTTCTTGAGACATGCAAGGATCATTATTAATATCATATATCGCGTTATAAAAGGCACGGTGAGCTTCCTTTTTCTCAGCGCATTCATAGTTATTGATGATCAATAAATCGTAATGTCGGAGTGACCAATTTTCATATGGAATGAATTCAAAATATTTAGTGTAAGGGATGTTTTTAGAGGTTTTTTGAGCGTAGTGAGTAGTCATGATATCAATATATTCAAGAGTGTATACGCAAAAAAAAAAATTCAAATCAGCTAACAGAAAATTACACATATCGAACTTACCAGTCTTTTTATAAAATGGGGCAAATTATAGAGACGCGTTAAGTTATCGAAAGTCGTGTGTTTGTTTCTTTTTTCAGATTACTTTATGTGAGAAATTATTTTGTTGCACAGGTTCTAGTATCACAAATAAAGAAATTTTCTGATCATATAGTGTTAACGCGTTAACAACGTGATCCTGCGCCTAAAAAAATAAAAATTCGAAATATTTCTAGGGTCGATGGCGACCCGCAACTAATTAAAAAAAAAAAGATGTGGCATATCGATATGCATTTAGGTCAGATAAGATTGTGTTAGCATACTTATTTCCATAACACAAATAAATTATGCCACATATCAAGTTTTATTTTTATCTAACTCTAAGAATTAATATATTGATATTATTCGAGAATTTTCACATTCACATCGTCTATATATTCCATCCGCTACTTTTTTGCATGTCTTACAATATAGATGTGAATGATGATTGCATTTGTCACAAACTTTACACCCATGCTTCCACCCTCTAAAGATATGCCACTTTTCGATGTAATTTTGTTTGTTTTTATTTGTAAGTATACTATATTCTTTCATTGATATATATTAACAGAAAAAATGGTTGAAATGTAGTATAGGTGAAAAAAATTTCCGACGAATCACCTGCAGTATAGGTGGTTAAGTCTCGACAAGTTAGTAACTCAGGTAGCTTAACGAAAATTGCAAACTCTATTTTAAACTTCTGAACATATAGCTATTTTAACTTTCGGATCACAAGCTATTTTAACTTTTTAACTACAAACGATCTTTTTAATAACAAGCTATTTTTAACTCTACAGTACAAAATTATTCTTGACGAATAAATCTAATCTATTATAGGGGACCCTTTCGTTTCGCACTAGGGTGTGCCCAATAATAGGGTATGACAAATAAGAATTTACTATATGTGCTATATAATAAATGTTTATTTGTCATACCCAATGATTGGTAACACCCTAGTGCGAAACCCTATAATAGATTAGTTTAATCCCTCTTATCCTAAAAAACAATAATTTCATGTGACGGATTACATAACTATTAGTCTTTTATCAGAAATTGTGTCGGTGAAATATATAATGTTGGAGTTTCTTATTGCAATAGAATGTATTGAATGAGCATATGTTGCTGAATTTCGTTGTGAAAATGGAATTGGAGGTGAAAAGGACCAACATGGGAAACATTCATTATCTAAAATTAGGAACATATAATGCCGGATATTGTTATAAAAATGGAGTTGTGGTTGAAAAAAAACAATGTAAGGCACTAGTATGTTACCAGGTGGGTTGAAACAGATAATTTTGTTATTAAAATGGAATTGGAGCTGAAAAGGACAAACATAGACAACATTGTTATCTAAAATTAGAACCATATAATACCAGACTTTGTTATGAAAATGGAATAGTGGTTGAAAAAAATGGACATAAGGCACTAGTATGTTACCAGGTAGGAAATTTCAGTAGAATATTTAAGAGTAGGGTAAAATGATCTACATTTCAATAGTAATTACATTACTAAATTTTTTACAATAACATCAGGTAATGTTCATATGTTAATTATGTTGTGTAACTTAGCATAGGAACTTTATTGTAATTGGCTGATTTTTGTAGATCTTCTGGTCATACTAAAGTATTATTAAAGTAACGATTTTCTGTCACAAGAGTCACAAAAATTGATTTGTAGAGGTTGTGATAAAAAAATTTAAAAACTATATCTTCTTTGTTACAAGATGTTAAAGTAATTTGGTAATCAGCGAGGTAATTCAGAAATTAGATGAGAGCCACTTTTTGAGTATTCTAAAACTTTCTATTTGGTTTGTAATCTATTTAAACTATTCAATTTAACTCTTTTTTTTCCTATATATATATAGTTTCCTCAAGATGTTGTTTGCGGTTTATAAACAATAGGTTAGATCAGTGATGTACATTTTGACTGTCCAAAGGCTTTTTTGGCACTGTCCAATGTCCAAGTGTCCAAGTGTCCACAAGTGTCCAAA